TTCAAGACAGCTCGTGTGAAATAAGCGTGTGCAAAATGAACACAAGACAGAGTGAGAGAATCCGCAATAGATGAGCCAAGGCACTATACACGGATGGTATTTCTTCGAGGGGGATTCCAACATCTGCAGCCAGTTCGAGCGCTGCACAGTAGTCCCTGAAAGTTTCAAGAACAGTTGGAGGAGTCAACAGAAAGGTGGAACACTTGTTCAACACGAGAGGCAAACATCATGCAAACAGCCCAGCCGGTTGTGCCCTGCACCTGGCATTCTTCTCTCCAAAGCTTCGATTCAACTCATGCTTGCTGTACTCCCTCCTTATCACCTGCAAAACGCTCACTCAGGGCTCGGCAATCAAAGCCCCCCGCAAAACATGAGATCAGAAGCAACCCACTCTCCCGGACTTTCTCGGCAGTTGTCAGACATGCTAATGATCATCCGACAAGCTCCAAAGCTGCGCCTCAGGACTTTGCATCTCCTGCATTTTTCGCCCATGAGCTTCCAGCTGGTGCTTTAAGGCTGCAAGCTCTACATCTTTCTGGGCCAAGGACGCTTGGTGCTCCAAGCGCAGCTTCAAGGTGGCTTCATGCTGTTTCGTCGCCAGCTCACGCTGCTCACGTTGCTCACGCTGCTCATGCTCCCTTGCTGAAAGCAACTCTTGCAAAGCCGCCTTCTCCATGCGAACTGAACTCAGCTCCTGTTGAAACAGTTCTGACCTTAGTACCACTTCAACATACTCTTCTTGAAATGCGGCTTTTTCTTCTTGCAGTTCCATCCCCTTAACTTGCAACCGGTCTCCGCGTGAATTGGCAGCATGATGATTGGTTTGAAGGTCCTCCTTCTCCAAATTCAGCTTCCTTATCGTTTCTTCAGCATGAAGAGCAGATTTCTGCAGTGCACTTCTCTCATCCTCACTTCTCCTCCACTCTTCCTCCTTCTGCTGCAGTTTCATCTGAAATGATGTAACATCTTGCTCTCCTTTCTCCTTTGCTCGAGTCATGTCCTCCAATTCTCGCTTGATGTGATTTTTTTGAGATTGTATCGTAGTCCTAACCACTTGTATCTGACGATAGCTTTGTCTAGACTCCTCCAGGTCAAGTTTCAAAGCAACCACTTTCTGTTCCAACTCTTCCCTCTGGCACATGGATTTCACTTGGTCTGATTGTGCCTTGAAAAGAGCTTCTTCCAAGTCACTCCGCTTCTGCGCATGAGAATGCACATCAGCATGGGCAAACTCCACCTTGCCTTCACTGGCTGACAGCAGCTTCTGTAGGAGCGCTCTTTCCTCTCGAGCCGCATTCAGCTCTTGTTGCAGGCTTTCGTTCTTGTACTGTGCTTGCTTCTGTTCCTTTCCATGTGCCACCTTGGCCTTCAACGCATCCATTACCTTTGCTTCCATCTTCTCTCGATCTGCCCGGGAAGTTAGCTGCTTTGCCAACAAATCCTCCTTCTCCAAATTCACCTTCCTTGTCGTTTCTTCAGCATGACGGGCCGCTTTCTGCAGTGCACTTCTCTCATCCTCACTTCTCCTCCATTCTTCCTCCTTCTGCTGCATTTTCATCTGAAGTGATTGGGCCTCTGTCTCAGCTCGCACCCGTTCTCCAGTCATCTCTTGAAGTGCTTGCTTCAACTCCTTTTCCTCATGTTCCATCTTGTTTCTTTGACGTTGCATCTCCGACAAGTCCTGTCCAAGCTCCGCAAGCTTCTCCTCCAACAACGACGAGCCTTGTTCCGAAGCCTCTCTTTGGGCCACGGCTTCTTCGTACTCCAAGCGGCTTCGATAATACGACGCCTGCCAGCTTTGTGCCTTTCCGGCGTCCCGCTTTCCGGCTTCCGTCGCCAGCGTGTCCTCACTGGCTGCCAGCCTCTTCCGCAGCATCACCGTGTCCTCCTCGAGCTTCTGCTGCCTCAGTTCGGCGGTGAACTGCGATGCAAGACGCTCGGCATCGGCATGAAGCTGGGCCTCTTGCAGTTCCAGGACTCGAGATTCCAAGCGATCCCCACGAGCATTAGCACTCTCATGCCTTCTTTCCAAGTCTTCCACTTCCAAATGAAGCTTCTTCAGTTCTTCCGTTCGAAGCTGCACAGCGTTTTGCTCCTCCTGACTGCTTCTTTCCTCTTCCTGCTTCTGCTCCAGTTCTCTCTGGAATGATTGGGCCTCCTTCTGAGCTTCTGCCTTTTCTCTAGTCACCTCCTCCAACTGCAGAGTTTGCTTCTGACCTTTCTCTTGCATGATGCGGTGACGAACTTGCATCTCTGTATGCACTGTATGCTGGTGCTTAGACTTTTCTTTCCAAGCTGCGACCTCTTGCTCCAAAGCCGCCTTGCAAGGCATGCATTTCACATGTTCTGATTGTGCCTTGAAAAGTTCTTCTTCCAATTCGCTCAGCTTCTGCGCATGAGAATGCACATCAGCATGGGCAGACTCCACCTTGCCTTCACTGGCAGACAGCTGCTTCTGTAGGAGCGCTCTTTCCTCTCGAGCTGCATTCAGCTCTTGCTGCATCAAGTCTTTCTTGTACTCTATTTCCCTCTGATCAGCCTGAGCTGCCAATTTGCTTTGTAGTATGGTAACTACTTCTGCTTCTAACTGGACCTTGCGCGCATTGGAGGTCTGCTGCATTGCCAGCAGGCCCTTCTTTTTCTCCATTAAGGCTTGGTTTTCGAGGTTCAGTTGCCGCGCTTCTTCAATCGCATCATCGACGGCCTTCTGCAGTGCACTGCACTCATTGTGACATCTCCTCCCCTCTTCCTCCTGCTGCTGCAGCCGCATCTGGAAGGATGATGCTGTTTGGGTCTCGTCGTGGAGTACTTGCTCCATCTTGCTTTCGTGGCATTGCAACGCACTCGCCTCCTGCCTAGACTCCTGAAGCATCTCTTTCATGAGTGACAGCTCTCGTTCCAAAGCTTCTTTTTGAGCTATGGTTGTTTCATGCTCTAAGCGCAGATTCCGCAATGATGCTTGTAATTGGTTTGCCTTGTCTGATTGAGAGGTGGAGACTGCATTTGCAGCCTCCAGTTTGCCTTCGCTAGCTGTAAGCTGCTTCTGGAGCACAACACTTTTCCTTTGATGCTTCTTCAACTCCTGTTGCATCTGCTCCGTCTTGAGCTCCGCTGCTCTCTGCGCAGCCTCCGCTTCCAACATTTCGAGATCCTCAGTCTTTCGCTCTTCTTCAGCCCGTTTGCACTCTTCCTCTTCCAGTTGCAGGTGTCTCTGCATCATCGAAACATTCTCGTCCTCCAGGCCTCCTTTTGGGGAATGAGCGGCTTCAGGCGCCTCCTCTAGTTCACCGTCTCTCTCCAAGACCTCACTTTGCCTCTTCCCCAGTGCCTTGCTGGCCTTCCGCGCTGCAGTGGTGTCTTGCTTGATTTGATCGGCCTGGGACTCAGCGGGCATCTTCGGACAATGGACGAAGAGAAATCTGCATGGCAAGTTATGGCCACCAAGTCATAGCGACGCACGTCTTTCACCCCTGTGCAACCATTCACTCGCTGAGCGCTTGGCAGGTGGCACTTTGGACTTGACAATCTGCACGCGGAAAGCAGAGATGGCTGTGGGTCAAAAGCAGGGGACCCCCACGGCACCTTGGTTGACCACCACCAAATGAACTGCATAGACTACAAGGAAGGTCAACCTACCAGGGTTTGGGGTTTTAGGCTTTTTAGACTCACAGCCATATCGCAATCAATCAATGGAGAAATGCCACGAATGGCCACCATCAAGCGTCTGGTTCTGGTGTTCACGCCACTCCACTGTCAAGACCTTGGAGGAGCATGAGCACCGAATCCCAAGCGAAATCCCTTCCAAAGTCGGAGGCTTCCCCCAGCCTTCTTCGCTGCCTGGTCACCTGGCAGCGTTTCGAACAACGTGTCGAACAACGTGTCGACGGCGCTCGCGCAGAGAGAGCGAGCGCGGTGCCTTGAAGGCACACGCCCCTTGGAGATGAGCGTTGGAGACGGTGCCGCGTCTCATTCTCAAAAAAGTGACAAGTCCACCCCAGCTGCCACTTACAATCGCGACGACGAACGGAGCAAAGGACGCTACTAATACTAAGGCCTACTAGGGGCTGTTGAGAATGGCGACACCAACACCAGACCCAAAAAGCAACCCACATGGCGCTTTTTTCAGTCAGGTTCCGCACCTTTCTTCCATATAGCTGCGGGCCGAACGAAGATGCCATGCCCCTTCTCGCACCTAATTGGACAGGCCACAATTAGACAGGCCACAAAAATCATACTGTACGATTTCTTCCACTTTACAACAGTAAACACACATGCTGTGTTGGAGCTTGGGTCTGAAATGATGCGAACAAAAAAACACACACACAAAAAAAAAACAAAGATACAACGAAAACGTTTGCCGGCACCCTTTTGGACAACACTCCAAGATCAGACTCATGGTTTCCACACGGCCGGTTCGCGGAGAATGCTTTAAAGGCTCCACGAATCGGCGTTCGGCAACACTTGTCACACCTGCATCTAGCAGTCTGCTAACACTGTCTACCTTGTTCCGCACCGATCTCACATCGGAACTCTGGGGCCCTTCGCTGGAAGTAGAATTGGCCCTTCACCGTGCCATCGTTCTTTCCGACGGCTTCATCCAACCTGCTGTCGTCGGCACCGCGGGGGGCAAAACGGACCGAAAAAGCACGTCCGGCACATGGGCGGCACATGGGCGGCAATGACGTCAGACATGCCTTAAGCCACCTTCTCTTTCTATCCTTCCCTTCCATCGTCCTTCGGCCATTTCTACCCCAGACCCAATTAGGACTAACACTTTACTTATTTTTGGTTGGTATACACTTGGCATGGCAAACCATGAAACCAAGAATGTCCAATTTACTTCTATGTACTTCACCATTGCCCTCCTGATGTTCCCATGCGGAAGCAACGGCAAAGCCAAAAAATATGAAGATGGATCAGGCTGGAAACTGGCATTCGTTGGGCGAACCTGTAACAAAGCATCACTATAAGGCAAAAACCACGACAGCAGCGGTTTCAACAGCATGTTAGTTGCATTGGGTGGATGAAGAAAACATGTTGAAGAGATGTTTGCTACTGGTTGGACTTTAATGATCGAATCTAAGTTCGAAACTCTTCAAGTTCATTGTTTTTTTGGATGGACGTTTGAGTTGTGGCAGCTGATAGCTTGGGAGTATGAAACAAAAACCATGTTGGATGTCCGCACTGAATTTGACAGAACTGGCATTTCCAAGCGCGGCTGCTGGCGCACAATATGGAGAAATTCATGTTTTAAAAATTTGACGGCTGTTAATTCGTGACTTGCATTCCAAAAAGGCTCCCAAACTGATCCAAACTCGTTTTTGATGGGTTACTGGTTTCAAACTCTTGCTCCACCTTTAAGCCAGACTTGGCACCTGGTTGGCAAGCAATCCATGAAACACGCGCTTCGGGTGAGTGAACCGAAACCCTCCGGGCGCTCTGGCACTCTGCCGGCACTCTGCCCGCGCCTGATTCCAGCCCAATCCCCAGGCGCAAATCGCGTGGAACCCAAGAAGCGCACCACCCCGGAGACATCCTCCTCGCCCAGGACCTCGATCTCGCAAAATCTCGGGTGATGAATTCACCTTCCGGGCTTTGACTTCACTGAGGTGTCCCATACGTCATCGTGTGTCATCCCTGAGGTCTCCCATGTTTATGGTGACACGGATTTTTCGCAACCGTGGAGTGGAGGCGTCCACATTTTTGCTGTTTCTTGCACATGTCACATGTATATGCTGTCGGTTTCGCTACCGGCCCACGTTTTGGATTATTTCTTTATCGATTTCATGATATGTAATGATCGGTTTCATAACATTGTCATCGGCTTCATAACATTGTCTCGATTGGTCGTGTGATTAAAATGGGGTGGCGGGGATTGTGATGGAATGAGGACGTGGATTTCATTCCTGAAAACATTGTCATCGATTTCACGATATGTAATCTTCGGTTTCACAGCATTGTCATCGGCTTCACAAGATCATCATCATCGGTTGCATAACATTGTCATCGGATCGTTGCGCGTGAGCAGCGCAAGAAACATCTGAAGGTGAGATCTGTTGTCCCAAAAGCGAATGGAGCAAGCCTGTGAGGGGTGCACTGCGTTGTCGCCTCGTTGGCACACAGCAGATTGACAAATGTTGGCACCGTTTGAAAAAGTTTTTGCCGACACAGTCAGGGTAACCCCCGAACGGGAAGATCTGGGAGAGAATCTTCCAATGGATCTACCGGCACAATTCCAGGGCATGAAACCGCTTGAGGCACTCGAAGGGGAAAAAACAAAAGAGTGGATGGAACTTTTCGTCGTCCCTCGCATAATTTGCACTTCTTAAAAAATGCTTAAAACGCAGGCGAGGTGCGACCTGCGATCACAAACGGATGGTTGCAAAAAGCCGTGTCACCATGTGTATGCCGTTTACGCCTTCAACAGGTGCGCCGCTTCCTTCCAACACATTGGTCGCCCACATCTTTGGGAACACACGGAGTTGCCCCCAGTTCATGACAAATGCCTCCTTTCCGGACATGACCTGTTCTTCTCCCTGCCCAACAAAGTCCCTCAGACGGACTCCAAGCCCTCCGCACTGGGGAGGTGGGTGACAAAGATTCAAAGGAACGAACTTGCAAACTTCGAACAACTCGTCTCTGTTTAAAGTTTTTGTCACTGCAAAATCTGCAAGACAAGAAACACACACATCAATGGCTAAGTCCCATACAAGTTCCACTGCATGCCCGACTTTGAAATCAGAGATGGCGGGCCCTGCCCAACGAAAAACAAAACCTCTGGGCGCCAATTTTGAATTGTGTGAACACAAATTGCTGTCCAACAGCTCCAGAAAAGTCACAAAAGTCTCCGCTCCTTCCGTTCCCATGGCCAGGCGGTCGGGCGTGGACCAATCCAACGTTTGGAGCGAGAACCTCAACTTAAGACTCCAGTTCCGGTCTTCATGCCTGGTATCAGTCGCGTGTGATGGTTGAATTGCTGCCAACGTTTCGGCTCCTTCCCACAACGGCAACCCGCTTGAAAACCGATGAACCGTTTTGAGAGTTCCTGGCCGAACGATTGGTCTTGAGCCACTTTACTGCGCACGCGCAACTTCCTTGGAAGGCTGCAAACGATGACCAAGCGATTGAGCCCAGAAGTTCGTAAGGCCTTTGAGGCCTTTGCCCCAAAAAGGAATCACACAAACCACTGCCATCCGCAAAACGCGTGGCCCTCATATCCCTTGATCACATGAACGTTCTTGAAAACAGTGATTGTCTGCGAGCTGCACTTCATGCATTGCCGCTTCTGCAACATGCATTCCGAAAAGGGTCAAAATCCTGTATATGTTTCCCAGGGCTAGTGCCCGCCTTATGGCCACTCCCTGGCGGCAATTCTTCACATGCGATTGTCAGTCTGAGCGTGACACCTTTCCAGACTTTGACACCTTTCCAGTAACAATTCCATACACGCATTTCCCAGTCCGAACTAGTGTGTACTGTACGCCTTCTGGCACGTCTTTGTCTTGCAATTCAACACCTTCGTCTCGAGATCCGGGCAGGCCGTTTCAATAGCAATTGTATACTTTCGACTCCCCGCAAGGTGGACACGCGGGACGAGCCAATTCTTTCGGCTAAAGACTTGTGGGAAGGTAGACACTACCCCAAATAAACATGAAAGTGAAGAGTTACCCCGGAGGAGCTGCACCAAGAAAAGAAATGCAAAAAGGCGGACACACTATCCCAGACCGGGGGAGAAATGAGTCAAATTGCAAATATAAGGAGTTGCCAGGAGGCGGAGGCATGGGCGCAGATTGGGGGACAAATATGTCACGTGCAGAACTGCCACTAAGGAGTCGGCAGGACACACACCGGCAGATATGCAAGAAGCGACAAGCGAGTTGCCTGAAAGCGGACATAGCAGCCCACACTGGAAGAAATATGTTCAAACGGTGGGCGTTTCCAGAAGGAACCCAGTTATCCCATCTTAAAAGTCCGCCCCTGCATTTGTCTCCCAGGTTGAAGTGCCTACTGGCAATGCAACTCTCCGCGTCAGTCTCGGCTAGTGTGCGCGCGCCTTCTGGCAACTCCATAGCCGCATTTCCTTGCAATTGTCGACCGGCTGTTAGTGGACCTTTGCAATGGCCGCTGGCGGCTGGCTGGTTCCGCATTGGCGCCGAGGTTCGTTAATGTGCTGCCATAAATCAAGGACCACTCACCCGTGCTTGAGCCGTGGTGGTGCACAATTGAGGGATCTGTTTGGTTGGAGGGCGTTGGTTTGCCTTTCACGCACTCTCTTGTTTTCATGCCGTCATGTACTTCTAGGGACTCTGGGTGGCTGCATTGCAGGCAAAAACCATGAGGTCTAACTGTTCATTACCTAGGGGTTGGGCTAAAAAACGTTTCGGTTTAGGTGCTAGGCCCCTCTTTAAGGGAAGTCCAGCTATTTTTGCCCCTGCACGATGTTGCGATTCATTCCATCCAAAAATAGGTTCTACATTGCCCATAGTGGCTCGACAAATGCAAAGTCAAAAGTTTGGCAAGAAGAGGACGAACATATCCTTAATTGATGTACGGCCAAAAGTTGTTCACGGCATCAAACGCCCAAACAGTAGTTTCAACGACCGGGGTTCCCCTGAATTCGCGACGTTCGGTTCGCCGACGCACGCGCATGTACAGGCACGGGCGCACAGCAGCGTTATGATGGCTGCGCTACCGTTGCGCGATGTTGCAAGCTATGGTTTCCAGCCATTTGGGTGCAAACCCTTGAGTTTTTGGCGCCGTCATGACCAAAGGGAAATCCACCATCACAATCAGATCTACAGCAGGCTATCATCGCTTCGTTGCTGGCCCGCGTCGCAAAAGCACCGACAAACTGTGATCTTGCAACTTTTCTTCGGGACCCATACATGGAAATGCCTTTGGGCATAGCGGGCCGTCGAACGCGTACAGGTCAACATTGCCAAAGAACCACAGTCAGCCAAGTTCTTTGCCACCCGCCACAGGTACATCCGAGACCGTTGAGGTTTCGCTTCAACCATTGCCTTTGCGCGCAATCTTTATTCCCAGCTTGCGTTCGTTGAGGGGGAAGCCGCATGCACTTGCCATTCTTGTGCACACGTCGCCATCGTGGCCGCTGTTTGGGCAGCCCCAGTAGACACCCCGCAGCGGAGAGAACGCAGATACCCAACGCACTGGTCTGGTTGCGTTTGGTTTGGTGGACGGTGAGTGACTGTGCGTTGGGGCTGGGCAAGCGTGGCCCAACGTCAATCAAAATTGGCGGTGGGTGCCTGGGAGTGTTCTGATGTGTGCCCTGTCCAACTCACCATCATCTTCAAAGGGTTGCTGCCACTTGTGACGCAAGCCCTGCTGCAACTTCCGTAACCTGGCCACTATACCGATCGGCTGGGGCTAGGGAGGGACCATACACACATGTGCCATTTACTCTGGGGTGTGTGCAGTGGATGGTTGGGGCATTAGGGCCGCACAGGTTGCCTCCACCAAGCCCCCCACAGTCGGTGGAAGAACGAAACCAAACAGATGGGAACACTGTGTCTTGCCAGTCCGGGCGGCTTCGTAACAGCAAAGGTCGTCCCTAACACAAACACCTCCAAGTTGGTACAAAATAGTTCAGTGTTGGCATCTGCCTGCGCCATCATGCGCCCTCTTTGGGGTGGTGCACTCAGTTGTTCCGCCCTGCCGGCCGTCCCAATGCCCGTTTTGCATGGCACAGCAGGTGGCAGAGTGAAAGCAGGCCGGCAAAGTGAATCATAGCGGGCAAGCCAGACCAAGGAGGCCCCCGCAAAACTGCAGCAAAATAATTGTTTTAACCAGGCATCGCGCCGGGCAGTGGCAATTAGATTTGCTGTCCCAAAGTTCGCATAATTAAAGCTTAAGGCCCTCAAGCAAGGGAGTGCTGTCATGGGACTTCACGTGTAAAGGAATGGTGACCATTCCGCCTTGCGGCCTCATCCGGTAAACCCGAGCTTTGGCCACAAACACACGGGGCACCCCTCAACACCGCATGGTTGGGAAACGCCCGAACAACGCCACAGGGTTCTGATTGACGACGGTCGTTTCGGAGGTCGTCAACTCAAAACCCCTAGGCCCTGCATCTGTCCAATATTTCCAAACCATCATGTTTGGAGACTCTGCGGTTTGTAACGCGTTTATTGGGGGGAACAGTCGCTTTGTTTTAAAAAATCACTGTTGCATTGGATTGTTCGAAACCTGCGGATTTCTAGCGTTCTTTTCATTGATGAAACCAACCGAAAGCTAAGTGAGACCTGCTTCGAGGGGCAACGCAAGAAGCGGCCAGTGCCATGGGCCATGGGCCATGGGCCCTGCTCTTGTTGCGACACATGCAATTGGTAAAACGTGCGCCAAAGTGTTTCACAAGCTGTCCCTCCGAAGACTGCTCTAGACAGGAGGGGCTTGCCACAACCCGCTCCCGAGCACAGAGGTCAGTGGAGAACAGTAGGCGAAAGGGACACCAATGGTCACCAGTCAAGGCCAACCTACAGCGGGTCACGGGTCAACACCCCAACGGCCCAACGCCCTGAACTTCGCCCATCGCACAGTGGTTGCAAAATGTCGTCGCCGCACCACAATTTTGCAACACAGCGATCAACTTCGCAACATGATGTTTCGCAACTAGTTGGCCCAACTCCACATTGCATTTAACATCTTTGTGTCAACGAATTCGATCAAACGTCATTTGCGTAGGGGCACTTGCCATAGGTCAGTCCTTGCAAAATGTGTGGGTGGTGCATACTGTAGCCACAGGCCACAGGGCGATTTGGGGGTTAGGCAGGCCCATGACCTTTACTCACATCTGACCACAAATGGGCAGGCGAAGACTCAAGCGGTTTGCACATCCTCAGATGTTGTGAGTCCGAGATTTAATGTCACACTCAGCGCTCACCTTGGCTGGAGCAAGCATAACTCCACAGCACGGTGCCCTTGAGTGGTCGCCACACGGGTTTTTGTAATACATCTCATGCAAGGCAAACTTGCCAGTTGATACAAGTTGTTGGCATAAGCAAAGCCAATTTCACGAATTTGATCCAAAGAACGGCATGACTCAAAACCAAGTTCCAAAGATGCAAACATATTGGCCACGGTAAACTTCATAATTTGCCCGCTCAGCCCCCCAAAACCCCGAAACAGGGACTACCGCGCACGCCCTGAGGCAGCAGTGCCTTTTTAAACGCAGTGTACGTGTATCTCTTGAGCCATGACAAACACAACAGACGACAGGCACCGTGTGCGGTAGGAGTGCTACTTCTCAGAAGCCCATACTAAAACAGCAAGCGACAAATTCATAACACGCACTCTACCCCCTTATTTTTTCAAGGAAAAGTCAAGTCCAATGAATCACGGGCCACGAATGACGTGCTCACATCCAAGACCGATGCCCACGTTTTGGATTTTCTTTGGAAACTGGATTCTTGAGCTACGCCAACACGATCTTCAAAGCGCCGTCGGACTCGAGACGCCATGGTTTTTCTCCTGCGGACGGACCTGTGGCACAATCACGAACAACAACGAATGATCGTACGATATCTCTTTCGATAACATCATGACGTCATGTTCTTCCCACCGACTCACCCAATTGAAATGATCCGGGTTCCATGAAACTTGCACTACTCCCTCACACATATTCACAACCGGACCGCTTTAGAAGGCTCCGGACTCTGGGCTACGATCCGTCGACCTCCAACCTTTGCATCAAATGTTGGTTCCTCAAATATGTTTTGCGCCTTTTTACCATGTTCT